CTGGGTGAATGCTCCAAACACAGAGCAGGGATGCATATTTGGCCTCCCCTGTTTCTTACATTCAACTCCTACAGGCTCAGGTTTGATTCTGCTGTGGACTGGAAAATATCACTGACACATGGAAAACACATTGTGATGCAGAAATAACCTGCTCCCTTATTAAATACTGTTTAAAAGTTTGAAGCCTGTAAATGAGTCTGCTAAGTGCTTGTAGTTCCAGGAGCAGTGAACCTTCCTTATAGACTTATTTGAGATAGAAAGGACTTCAGGAGAGAAAAAACCCTCATGCTAATTCCCAAGAATCAAGTGCCATGTTTTAAGAGTACACTGCTAGAGTGGCTTCTGGCACAGTGAGAACAAGGCTTGAAAAACAAGGAGTCTCAAAGACTCCATTCAGTCTCTTATTTCGCATCTTTACAAATCTCACACACATCACCACTGACATTATTTCCTTGCAGCTATTTCAGAGGCTTACTTAACACCCTGGGAAAAAAAATGCCTTTCAGTATGAACTGGCTCGGATGCTTTCTCCTGAAAAATAATACACTCGTAGGGAGAGAAAAAAGCAATCTTACGTGAGTGATTTTTGGATGAGGACACGTGTCAGTGGGAGGAGCATGACAGAGTTTTTCATAAACGCACTTGCTGGGCTTGCCATCTTCTTCACACCAGACACACTTATAGTCGGGGTGGGCGGCAAGGCACAAGCTGCAGTCACTTCGTCCATAAGAGCAGTTGTACAGAGTCACTGAAAGATGAACATTAAATGCACTTAGGCATTTCCTTCTGTTTTAAGGATATTCAGTGTGCTTTAGGAAGAAAACTAACCCTATGTACAAAGTTCAGTGGAGTCACATGGGTAATATGTACGCTCTGTATTTAACCCCTGAATGATGTTGAGAGAAAGTTGTATTTTTCCCTCTACAAAAAGTCCTGAAATCTATCCATGTGCAGAGTGTGAATAAACTATCAAGTAGAACACAAATATAATTTTGTCACTCAGGCACTGTCAAAACATTCAAAGTCCTTACTTTGACTAACCTCAATAACTGATACAACTGTTCAAAGATTAGTTAAAAAATCAGGTCCTCCTGGAGCACCAGAACTCAGATGTGGAAGGGTATAGACTGCATGGGTGTCAGTAGAGACTGACATCAGCTAGCATGGGACCTTTGCCAGTCACAGACTGAAAGGAAGAGAACTGCCTTTGTAGATTGTTTCCAGGACTTTTAGGACTTTCCATAACCATACCTGAACCAAACAGACAGTTGACATTTAATGAAGTATTGTCCTTTGTTCAAGCTAATAGCTCTTCATTTCTCTGTTCTTCTCTATTTTCTTGCTTTTGTTTTCCCTTTTGTCTTAAACTGCCACCCTGATGTATGCCTTATTCCTTCTGTAGTGAAGTTTAGTTCTAGCTTTTCTGAGCCAAGAAGTCACATCTGACAGTTGTGTCTCTCTTACTGATGAACCGCAAACTAACTGTCCCAGACACTAAGCTTGTTTTGGCCCCCATCAATCTCTAGCCTGAACAGTCACTGAACAAAATGAATTTTCTCAAATACATGGAAAGCCTTGAGACACAGCTGGTGGTTCAGCACCAGACAGAGAGCCCGGGCTTGCAAGAAAACATTTGGAGATGCACTTGAGAGCTAGCCCAGAAGAAACCATGCTAAAAAGATGCCACATGTTTCTCTAGGGGAAGTGTGCAAGTTGTACAGATTACCCAGTGTGTGAGTGCTGTGCTTCCCTGGAAAGGTGAGCTGGTTATTGTAAACAGGGAAACTTCTTGCTCCCTTCTTTTCTGCTCCTTCTTTCTTTTCCCCCTGCTTCTCTACACAATTTGCTGGTGTTTTTCTGGCTACACAGCCTCTCACCGTCTGCCACTGAGGCTCTGACACTTGTTGAGTCTTCTTTTAAATCAACTTAACTTACCAGAACAGCAGAAAACTATCTAGGTTTCCTCCTGTGCTCTTTCAAGAGTTAAATGTGCTCACAGATGGGAATGGGGAATACAAGACAGACACTCAACATCTCCCTTTTCCAGAAGCGATGAGCTGTTTCATGTGCTCATTACATCTGAAGAAATAGTGGCCTTAGTGACACTGTTTGTTTTTTTTCAAAGGAGTTTCATCCTTAAAGATGCAGGAACCAAAGGAAATAAACAGAAGTGGACAAGGGTAAATCCCTTTGAGATCACATATGGTGAAGGCCACTAAAAATGTCTATTTAAAGAAATCTTTTATCCTTATACGAGCAGGACTCTAGGAAGGACACTGGAAAACCACCCTCCAGCCACTAACATTTCAATGCACTTGATATATTCCTACATAACAGCGGCAGCAGCAGCTTTTAAAATCTAATTCCAAGAGACTACCATGGCACATTTCTACTGAAATGAAAAAGTAAAACAAAAAAGCTAGCTTTCCATTATTTTTTCAGCAGTGGCCTTATTCCCCTGCTGGGCATGAACAATATTGTAGATGCCCAAAACTTGGTGACAGTCTCTCTGCCACTTGCAGGAGAGCATGTAATCTCATTTGGGCAGTTTTTATCTCAATGCTGTAGATTTGAAACCCTCAGCATTCAGTTTCATAGCTCGTCTTTAATATAGTATCAGGTTTTTATTATTTTCCTGACACTGAAGAGTTAATGCAATGATGAAGTCTGATTTTAACCCTTCCTACCTCTAATCAGTGTATCCACTTGATTTCAAGTAGCTTTACCAGCACAAACTCAGTTGAGGTATCATTGGAAGTGCATGCAAAACTAAGGGACTTTGACATTTTTAACAATGAATAAATGAGAAAGAGCATCCATTTGATTCAATCTATAGCTTGAATTTCCACGGAATCAATGAGCATAAAGCAGGAGTAGCATAATTTGCTTCATAAACTGAGCACATCGTTACAGAAGTCTCTGAATAACAAACATAGCACAAGAAATATTTCTGACAGTTTGTGTGTCAGCTATCCACTCTGTATGTTGGATGTGAATGTAGTGCTGGGGAAAAGCACCAGACTGACAGCCCTGGTACATTGCTGTTTGCTTATATAAACAAAAGAGACAACATGGACAGTGGCAAGGAAAAGTTTCCTTGTATCTCTGCTGCAAATTGCTTTTGTAGGAACCAGTTGCTTCCTTAATCAAGCACACTGAAAGGTTCCTATTACACAGACACTTGAACAGGTAATGTTGTTAACCAAATCTTTTCCTTGCCTTCTTAAACCTGGCATTTCCCATGGCCAGCAGGTGCAGCATAGGAATACGTTTACTGAATTACTTTGTTATCTTTCATTGGCTGGACAGGGATTTTTATCCCATCCCTCAGCAAACAATGTCAGCACAGCAATGTCTTAATGTCCTTCACATCCAGTTGCATAATGCAATGGAGAAAGCCATGGCCTTAAAGCATTAACCACTCCCCCTGTCCACTGATCAGCTCATTAAATGTATCAGCAGCAAGCCACTCATTAGATTCAGACTCTTATCCATCACCTTGAGATACCAGCTGTGATATCATTGATAAAAAGGACAAGGGATAAAAGGGGTATATTGGATTTCATACTGTTCAGAACCCCTGATGGCTTGAGATGTAAAAACACTATCATAACTTAGTATTCACTAAGTGTTACAGAAAGAAAGGGTTCTTTCACTGGCAGGTTCAAAGGTGCTTCTCAGCAGCAACCATATACCCAAAGCCAATTCTTTTCAAGATGCATAAAAACACATTACACTCTGGATTTCATATGGCATGGAAGTTTAAAAGACAGAGAGAAATGGGATTTAAAAAAAAATCCCTTTTATAATAAAAAGAGACATTTGTTGATAATTTTTCAATTCCCCTCTTGCAAGGGTTCTATATTTCAATTTGAATGATAACATTTCTTCAATAATATAGCTACTTTTTTTTATATGTTTTTCCCAGACTTGGAAAAAAGACGTTGGGAATACTTGGTCAAAATTCTGCAGTTTTAAGCATGACAGTCTTTGGAATGGAAATTAAGACAGTGTGAGATTGTAATATGACCTCCCCATAACATTCATTCCAGGTCCTCTTTTAAGTGCTTTCAACATTACACACAGAGCCATGAGGATAATCTTCTAAAAAGCATAGTTTTATAATGCCAGTAAGAAGGGGAATAAATTTAAATATTGTACAATTGGAAAAATAGCCTCTGAAGATTTCATCTGCAAAGGAAATTACTTGGGGTATTAGTTTTCCTGATGTTGACTCATCATGCAAGTAACAAGTGTGTTGACTCATATTTTTTGCAATATTCTGCCCTAAACTTCAGTCCAAAGGACTGTAAGGTAGGAGGTCTCAGCTCCTAGATACTACTGCACTGATTTTGAAGGAGCTTCCTTACCTAAGGCTCACAGTTGTAATTGCTTTACTGTTGTATGTTGAAAGAAATAAGGATATTTATATTCATAAAGAAATTTTTTTATCAGAGATCAAGGCTTTGTAGTATAATTTTTGGTTTTTTTGGTCATAGAAATAAATGGATAAAGTAATGAGCTGAAAGCACACCAAATGTTTCTGTGTCCTGCTGATTACCAACAGACATAGGGACTGCAGAACCTGTCTGAGCTGAGATACAGCTAAAAGTTGAGATTTCAGGTGATGTTCATATGAGAGGCAATGAGAAGGATCCCCTTTCTAACATTGATGAGGAAAGTTCATTGAGGAAGGGAAATGGTCATTGAAGGCAATAATAATCAAACTACTTAAGTACCTTTGAACTATGAAGCTTTGCTATTAGGACTGCTCTTCAGAGGAAAAGCAATCTCGAAAATCATAGAATCATAGAATAGTTTGGGTTGGTTGGGACCTTTAAAGGTTATCTAATCCAAACCCCTGCAATGATCAGGGACATCTTCAACTAGATCAAGTGATTTTCAAGATTGCCCTGTGTAAAGCCAGGAGTTGGACTTGGGTCCCTTCCAGTTCAGGAGATTCTATGATTCTATGATGATTCTACTCAGAGCCTCATCCAGCCTGACCTTCAATGTTTCCAGGGATGGGCCATCTACCACCTCTCTGGGCAACCTATGTCAGTGTTTCACCACCCTCATTGTTCAAAACTTCTCCCTTATATATGGTCTAAATCTACCCTCTTTCAGTGCAAACCATTACCCCTTGTCTTGTCACAATGGTCCCTGCATACAAGCTTGTCCCCTACTTTTTTATAAGCCCCCTTTAATTATCAAAAGGCCACAATAAGGTCTCCTCAGATCCTTCACTTGTGCAGGCTGAACAACCCCAACTCTCTCATCCTTTCCTCATGGGAGAGGTGCTCCAGCCCTCTGATCATTGTTGTGGCCCTCCCTCCTCTGGACTTGTTCCAACAGGTCCATGCCCTTCTTATGTTGCAGGGTCCAGAGCTGGATGCAATACTCCAGGTGGAGTCTCACAAGAGTGGAGTAGAGGGAGAGAATCACTTCCCTTGACCTGCTGGCTACACTTCATTTGATCCAGTCCAGGATACAATTGGCTTTCTGGACTGCAAGAGCACATTGCTGGGTCATGTCCAGCTTTTTATCCACCAACACCTTTCTCTGCAGGACTGCCCTGAATGCTTTCATATCTCAGCCTGTATTTGTGCTAGGGATTTCTCCAACTCATGTGCAGGTCATTGTAGTAGGCCTTGTTGAATTTCATGAGGTTTGCATGGGCCCACCTCTGAAGCCTGTCAAGGTCTATCTGGATGGCATCCCTTCCCTCCAGCATGGCAACCATGCCACACAGCTTGGTGTCATTGGCAAACTTGCTGACAACACGGATGTTTAATGCATTGGATTAGTATTAGTAACTTCTGATCTGCCAGATTAAATTGTTTCACTCAAACCAGTAAAATGTACAAACATTCTTATTCACATGACTCCAGATTATGAAGGAATAGATTTCTGTTTACTGTAGTTAACCTCCCTTTAGTCCCATATTTCATACTTACCCATCAGTTTGCTGTCAATCTTGACCTTATCTGTTCTTATGGATAAGTTAAGCTGTACTGTCTCATTTGCACTATAGGAGAACTGGAAAAGATGACACAATAGAGATATTTATACCTTCATTTGGCAAGGTTAATTTCATGCATTTTCTATGATTCTCAATAATCAGAGCTGCTGTGAAAGTTTTAGAAGCTATCCCAAGCCTTATGGCCTTTTTTTCATCTTGGCCAAATACATTTATAGAAGAATGCTTTAATGAACCTAATCCTTCACAATCAGAATTTTCAAGTACCCAGGGACAGCAATATCTGAATACTTGCCTTTCCTTAATTTAATTTACATTTGGTTGTAAGTATCAAACCAGCAAAAGTACTGTTCAGATGCAGTAAGTATAGCTGCTGACCCTGCTGAGTTCTCCCTTCCCACACCATCTGGCCCCATTACTTCTGTGGACATGGCAGACTCGCACCACATGGAGGGAAAGTCTCTTGCATCTTTTGCAGTGCAACCTCCTCATTTTACAGCCAAATCATAAGGTTCACGTGCTCCAAGAATTAGCTTCTGCTCATGTTGAACAACAGCAGCAATAAGAATTGTTGGGAAGGAAAAATAGTAAAGAAAAATAGAGAGGCTTTATAAAGCAAATGCTTTATTGTTGTACGTGCTAGGCACAAATGATGTATAAATGCTCCTTAAGTTCTCAAAACTAGTATTAGTGAGATTGTAAGACAAAGTTTAAAGTCAGTGTAACATTTGTGAGCCCAAGTTTGAGCTTAGTAAATAGACTATTTTTAAAATATTATTTCCTTTTGCCATAAAATAAACCAAAGTGAAAGAAGCATAACTAGTGAGTAGCGAAACAATGACATACTGTTACCATTCTTACCATTCCCATTTTTACGGCTGTAAAATGGGAAAGGTAATGAATTGGTATGTGGAGACAGAAAGCACTAAAATTTTCGTATTTTATCCTCAATGATTTCACCGGATTGCATAAAAAGTAGAGAATAAAACGGTAATGGGCTCGAATTCCTCCAGAGACAGTTCAATGAATCCATGGATTGCATGGATAGAGAAATCAAGGAGAAAGATCAAGGGCTTTGAGCAGAGACCTCAGGAGCTCTGAGCTAAAGCTGTTGCCTTTGACTGCTATTGCCAATGGAGAATCTCCATCAGAGCTGATTTTCTTCTCTAAGAGAAATCCATATTACCTGTATAATTCTGGACACATGTAGCTACTGGAAAATTTAGAACTGAATATATTTGGTAGGTGAATGATATTTTTGCATTTACCTCTTTACTCGTGAATGAAAATTTTCCCTCATCTGATTCATCAACAGGAGCTTCGAATTCAAATTGACTGTTTCCAACCATAAATTTTTTACCCTATAAAAGAGAAAATTTCAGTTTAGAATTCGCATAGCATCACTAAGCATAGTAAAATATCACCAGGCAATATCTTGTTCGGCACTGGAAGCAATTAAGACCAAATGGAGAAGGCTAACCAGTTAGAGTTATCTTCCAAAGCAATGCTAGTGAAACACTGAGCTGGAGCAATCTGTTACTTTGCTGCACCCCCTCCAATATTTGTCCATGGTGGGCACACCAAGCAGTTCAAATAAAGCAAGAACATATCTAGCACTCCGTTTTAGAGAGCAATAACAAAAATCAAGAAATGTGAATACTAGATGGCTTCACATATCATGTGTGTTATTAACAGAGCTGTGTGAATTCTGCCCTTTAAGGTTTTCTCTGTAGGTATTCTGGGCAGAGCAGCAACACAGGAATGGCATGCACTGAATGCACATCTCAGCTCTTGCTGGCTTTCTCCTGCCTTACCATGACTCCAGCTGTATTTTCACAGGGCAGTCTTTGAAGGCAGCACCACTTTAAGGGTAATCCTGCCTCCTAGACACCTTCCCCTATATTCTCCTTACATTCTAAATCCATTCATTCCTGTCTTAAGGCCATAGCATATGCCAATACCTTTGCTGTACCAAGAAAACTCTCAGCTTGGCTGTTCTGTCAGTCAAGGAACTGAACTGGCTAAAAACCAAACACATCACGTCATGACACTTTCCGTGCCGGGTCATTCTCCTGCCCACAGGACAGCTGTGCAAACAGCTTTGCCAGAAGAAGCTTAGAAAGAAACGAGTAGCAAGGATATTTTCAGACAGTATTGCTGTTAAAGACTTATGAAATCAGAACCCATTGGGGACAAGACAACAGTCACATTTACAGAATGATAAAATGGGGAAGGAACTTTAAAGACCATCACACTCCAATACCCCTGCCATGGGCAGGGACACTGTCCTCTAGACCTGGTTCCTCAAAGCCCCATCCAACCTGTCCTTGAACACTTCTAGGGATAGTGTTCCCACAGCTAATTTGGGCAGTCTGTTCCAGTGTCTCACCATCCCCATTGTGAAAGATTTCTTCCTTATATCCTATCTAAACCTACCCTCTTTCAGATTAAAAAATGTTACCCCTTTTCCTTTCCCTGCAGGCCCTGGTAAAATGTCTCTCTCCATCTTTTTTATAAGCCCCCTTTATATACTGAAATTCCACAAAATGTCTTTCTGGAGCCTTCTCTTCTCCAGGCTGAAACACCTCAAGTCTGACAGCCTTTCTTCTGAGGAGAGGTACTCCAGACCTAAGATCATATCCATGTCTTTCCACTAGACCTGCTCCAACAGGTCCATGTCCCAGAGTTGGGGACCCCAGAGTGGAGTGGAGGAAGATAAATCACCTCTCTTGACCTGCTGGCCACACCCCAAGTTTATTAAGGGCTACAAGCACACATTGCCAGCTCATGTCTAATGTTTCATTCTCAAATCCTCCACAGGGCTCCTCTCAATCCATTCATCTCCCAGTCTGTATTGACATTGGGGATTTCTCTGACCCAGGTGCAGGACCTTGCCAGTGGTCTTGCTGAACTTCAGGAAAACTTGATTGTGATGCCTTCTGTGGACCTAAAGAACTATTCCCTGCTTTTGTCCAGAGCTGTGTGAGTCTTGGCACACATGGCAAAAAAATAATGGCTACTCAGTTCCTCTTTTCTGCTCTGAAGGTTAAGTACATTGTCTCCTGCTGTCATCTAGGCCTCTTGCTCTGTTTATTTGGAGGTATTTCTTCAATGATGGAATCACTGGTAACTCGTGGACCACTAGGTTTATCTAATTAGTACAGTGGAAACCTCTCCTGTTGTACCTTCACTGTGACAGGTTGGGCAGTGCACACAAGGGCCCACCAAGGTTTGGGACTGAGGAGCACAACCTTTTTTAACCAGGTAAAGGGGCTTACTCAAGTCTCTGGGAGGTTTATGTTATAAAGGAGAAAAGACTTTTTATTTCATCCTTCTCAGAAGGTACTTACAGAAAATAAGCTACTGACTGAGCTCTGATAAGCCTTGTCTGAACTTTTACAGCCCATTCTGCTTAAAAGAAAATGTCTACATAGTATACTCCAAGTTTTAAAGCATCTCCTTACAAATATTTTTTTTGGGGGGGTGGAGGTGGGGAATGCTGACTTGTTTTCCCTACTCCACATATTTCAATATTACATGTATTTTTCAAAGGTGTTCAAATTTTTTTTCTGCTGTGTAAGGTTTTCCCACATGCTTCACAGCAGGTGCTGGGAGAGCAGCGGAGCTTTGGTGTGTTTAACAGCTGATACCTGGAGTGCATTGAAATCAGGAGTTGCTATACCAGGCTCTGGAGCAGGAGGTGACAGAGCTCACAACAGTCTGAGTGCAAGAGACATGCAGCAAACACTGGGAAGCAGGTTACACATCAGACAACCACGACAAAGACAAATCCAAATGGGAAATTACTTTTAACAAAAATCTTCGGAGGGCTAATAAGGTTATCTTGATGCTGGTACATCTGTCTCTTCTACTGTGCCAATCTTTCAAGGACTCAGCTGGAGAATGTCTCTCAGAAATTGCATGCAATATGACTGATCAGTAATAAACTTTCCTCTCAACCGCCTGTCCTGGATGAGGTTATTCCCAAAAGAATGACAACAGCTTGGATTTACTTCTTCCTACTGAAATCCTTTCAGGAAAGGAGGGGCAGAAAAACAGTCAACAGCTTCTCCTCTTTCAGTCTATTTCTCTCCAGTAGAAGCCCTCATGAGGAGACTTATTCATTGTTCTTTAAGCATTCATAAGTTAAGAGGTGCTTACAAAATGTGTAAGCTTATACTTTCAGCTCTGCAGTAGCAATTGTAGAAACCATCCACCTCTTCTACTCAATATGTAAGCCCTTCACTGCTCATCTTTTAAATGCACAGTGTTGGCTAGCACACTTAGTCACCCATGATAAGGCAGGTTGTGCATTGTCCTTTTAAGTAAAGCACAGATTAAACCAAGATAATAGAACTAGTAGTTCAAAGTGACAACAGAACATTAATTTTTGCTTTGTCTAAGCAAGAATTTAGGCAAGCAAAATAGGAGGAAAATGGATATACCAGTGTTCTAATCAATAAAGAACTTAAATGTGTTCATAGCTGCATGACTTCTAGCTCCAAATACACTGTAATGCCCAACATATCTTGTGGCAAAATTGTTCCAGATGAGAAGCCAAATGCTATTTTGCATTTGGGCTGCAGGCCAGCCCCTACAAAATATCCATCCATGGCTTCTCCTAAGCCACCCTGATTTCCATGAGGTGTTTATCAAACATTGAGTGTAAGTCATGGCCTTACTCAAATGAACTTTCACTAATCAAAGCTACTGCTTCAAATAGCATGACCCCACAGGCATGACTGCCTGTATGATTACAACTATTTCATGCCTTATTTGTCTGTTATCACATATACTTAGAGGTGTGTGTATACAGCTGTAGTCACTGTGTGCCTGTTCAAGTCCTGGCAGTGCAGGCATTATTATTTTGGCTTAAAAATGCACCTCCGTACCAGGATATATAGAGCATGACAGAGATGACATTCCCACATGGCTCTCACCCAAGAAAAATTACTCTGACATCAGCTGACACTCATTGCTCTCCACCGTCTTTCCAGCCTTGGCCCTACGTATTCATCTTGACTTCTTATGGAGACTTGAACTCCTTGTAAGACTTCCCAGCTCCAAGTTAAATAAATGCATACTACATCTGGTCTGTAGGCAAGCTATTAAACACTGCCTATCCATAACAAAACATTCAGTCCACAGGATGTGTCTCTGCCTTTGTTAAATGCATTTGATACCTCACAGGATTAAAAAAAGCAGCTTTTTTTCCATTCCCTTTTTGTTACTAGTAGTTCAGAAAGATAAAAGTGCTTATTCACAGAATCATAAACTAGATGAAGAAGTTTTTGGATTCCTGATGCTGTTTCACCTCCTTGGAGGAAAAGGGCTCACTAGAAGTCAAATTCAGCACATCTAGATTATGCATCCATCCTGAATTTGCTCTTGAGTGAGAATGGGCTCTTCCACTTATTATCAAGGGAGCAGTGGAAGACTTTCCTATTATGCAGAAAAACAGCTCTTCACATTGTTAAACAAAAGAAATACAAGTATAATCGCTGGACTATTGTTTTGGCTTTAGCAAAGAGAGTTGTGGCCTTCAAGAGGAGTGCTGTGTGCCAGACATCCTATCAGAGACCAGTCCTGGCATCTTGGAGAACAGACCAAATTCACCAAATTGCTTTTCATTGTCTGCATATATTTTAAGGTGTTCAAGCAAAAATGTTTAGATTTGAATATATGTTTGCATAGCATGGTCTTCATATATGTATATAGCAGTGACAGACAGCATGGTCTTCATACGGTTATAATGCTTATGGATCACTTTCTACCCTTCTCTGGATACCCTTCTTACATTGTTATTCTTCAAACCTGTTGACCCTTTTCCATCCCTTGGCAGGAGTAGAGGTGATAGAAGGAGTTTATAAACTATATAGTACTCCAAGTTAGCAAAGGAAAAATTCCTTAAAAAAGAAAAGCACCGTCTTTCCCTTGATAGATGGCTGGTAGTTATAGAAATCAATGAATTCCCCTGTGTATCTACCATCAATTCTCATTTACAGAAAGACAACAGAGAAACAAAGACTAGAAACTAAGAACAAATCTTGAGCCATCACCTAAAAAGTGATTTTTAACATCAGTGTTATCCAACTAACAATAACATTTTATGCATTGCATAGGTTGAAAACAATTAAAAGCTTGGGGTCAAACTCTGACTTCTTAGAACCTTTGTAACTTATTTTCTGGAAGCAAGTACTGAGAAAGAAAAGCCTTTGCTATGGTTGGGAAAATACCTGATCTTCTGGCTTGATGGTCACACACACAAAAGCAAAATATAATTTTATCCAAAATAATTCCATATCTGAATTCATTTTTGTGTTTGAAGGTGAGAACTGAACTAAGCACACTGAGTGATGTCATTCTAGAACAGCAACAGCAACCCCCAAATATTTAATAAGCAAAAAGATATGAAACATTCACAATTCCTAAATCTTCTCTCATTTCATTAGTTGAAAAATAATTGTCCAGTGTTTCAGTAGGTCCAACTTACATCCTTTAAAACGACTCCTCCAATTTAGTAGTTAAAATATTTTCTCCAGCTTTAGTTTAGGGGTGTGGATGCAGTTTAAGTGGCATTTAAATGACAGCTAGATTTGAATTCATCTGCTTACCTGATAGTAAGCTAGATGTCTTCCCTCAAAATGCACCGTTGTTCGGTACTCCATAGGTATTATTGGAGGGTCAGGGTTTAGAAACTGTGGGCATTCGTCTTCCTGAGGAGAGAAACATTTTTTATGTTATTACAAATAAAAAGTCTTATCACAACAAGCTCCAATGGCCTTCGGACAATAGAATGATTGTTCTCAAGAACTTCATGCTTAAAATACAGTGACAGATTTGATTACACCCTTTCAAATTAGACATGCTAAAAATGACTGTAGCATATGTCAAAGCTGTGGGTGATTATCTTTCCCTGCCTTGAAATCCTGTTCCTCCCATTGAAGCAAAATAGTAAAAGGAACAAAAATATCCTTTCAGGAGTTATTCAGTCTCACTGCCCCTCCTCAATCACACCCTTAAATTCCCACCCCCGCACTGTCACTAAAAAAACCCACCTTACATTTCTGTAGTTAACTTTAGAATAATTTTAAAATCCCTAATTCAACCAACTGATATGAGAGATAAAGCAAACAAAATATTGAAGCGTTCTAATAAAAAACCAATAACCTTATTTTAAAACATTACCATATTTTGTTTAATCACATCCTGTATTGAAGAGGACTCTTCACAGATATGTCTCTTCCAGTCCCACTGGCAATTCCATCTATTGCTTGCACAGGAATAGCATCTACAAATATAACATGGTAGTCATGACAAACTGTCAGGCTTTTCCCCCACTGACTAAAAAAGCAAATGAAATTCCATATTTAATCATGGAGGGTGGATCAGTCTGTTACAGTGTCCTTACTATATCAAGCTGAAAACTTCATAGTAAGAACAGTTCAAGAACCCCAGTAAGCTATTTTATCCTGTAAATATTTGAGCAAATCAGAAAACCACAGCATCTTGTATGAACTTTGAGATCAAGCCTGAGAGGACTGAAAATGATCTTGATCAGCCTTCAGACATAAGGATGAACAGAGGGTTTGGGCTAGCTGCACCTGCCCTGGAGCAGCAACATCTCAAGCAGGGCAGATGCTGGGGGCAGAGTCAGCTTTGACTGTCCTATTTGAATGCACTGCAAGCCAAAGCACCAATCTATCATTTCAGTAAACATGTAGGCAAGCAGATGTCCACTTTGCTCACCTCGAGATATGTTAGGAGCTACAGAAATGACAACCCAATGAACTGGCCTTTAATTATATGTGCCATGAATATTCCTATTCCACACTTAATGTTGCTGGCTCACCTGATACCCTTCAACTATTTTTAAACTCCATTAAAATTTAAGAAAATGGATTTGGACACTGGCAAATTTTGTAAGTCCCAAAGGCTTAATTATGAAATGATTGAGTAACTCAGCTGTCAGGTACCTGACACTCCATGCTACAGGATCTAAACACTTAAGAAGCTGAAATACTTACGGTTGATTTTCAACAAGATTCATTGCTTCTTCACAGTCATAAAAAGGGTAAGTATGTGATGCAAAAAATATCTTGTTCTTTTCAAAGGTTAACTGAAGTGGAACTGAAACATGATCTATCACAAGAGAAAAAAAAATTATCCAAGTGGTTGTTGAATTCTTCAGCTCTTGAGTTAGATGATACAATGATAATACTTCTATTATTTTGCAGGACATAAGCAAATATTTAACTATACTGTTGACACTCTGGATCTCATGACTTTAAGTCTATAAGCTCTGTTTTGCCTTTTTAAGCTTTACAAAATTTTCAGCACATGGTTCTCAGAAAAAAAGCAGAGATAGAATAAAGGGAAGAAAAAAATTACAGAATTGTTTTATGGAAGTATTTCTCAGTGATGCTATCATCATGCTGGAATTTTAAAGAATCTAGAAGAACAAGGAAAATGAGTAAGGAGGTAATTGAACACATGAAAACTGGCACAAGAACAGTCATTTTTAATAAAACACTTTATAAAATATGAATTTGTCTGCATGTAAAATTATTTCTTTCATTAGTGAATTAAAACCGTTGTCATGTGAATTAAAGCAAGTGATCTTTGTGGTTAATGCCCAACAGTGCCTGCAATGCTAGGTTACCACAGGCACTTGTGATCTTCAGTTTGCCCTACATGATTTCTCCACAAATGTACTTCTTGTCTGGATTATTACTAAACTAAGAGTGGTGCTTTCCTCAGTGAAACTGTTTGAAATACCTTTTACAGAAATCATTATACCCTTATGGCAAACTATTTCACAAGCTATTGAGCAATTTCAAACTCTGCTTTCCTTGATCAGAAGAGACCTTCAGCTGCTTGGCTGGAAGTTACCTTTGCCTGCACTTGGTCCCCTTGAATATTTCAGACTGATAGGAATGCTAGGGGATTTCCTAACAACAGGACTGCAAAAAAGCATTCTTCCTAGAAATGTCCTATTCCTTTTGGAACCGACCACAACTAAAGTAAGTCAGGCTTTTCCACCATCGCTAGGATTTCTTACAGTCACTGGATGTCCAGGAATTTTGTCATATTCTGCCAAGAACATACAAATATCACACTTAAAAATATCTTAAGGGCAGAGGTCAAGAGGATGGGGTCAGACTCTGAATATGAGGAAAAACATCTCTACTTTGGGGGTGACAGAGCCCTAGACCAGGCTTCCCAGAGAGGTTGTGAAGTCTCCTTCTCTGGAGATGTTCAAAACCTGCCTGGACACTATTCTGTGCAACCTGCTCTAGGTGAACCTGCTTTAGCAGGGGGATTGGATTAGATGACCTCCACACGTCCCTTCCAACCTTGTGGTTCTGTGAACCACTGCCTGTGTTCAGGTATCTGATGATCTTCTGAACATCCGTATATTACTTTTGAACATCCCTGTGCAACCAGCTCAGAGAGGCGTATTATTTTCAGGTGACTGGCTTACTCTTCTCCACTACAAAATATTTAGAGAATGTGAATTGGCCTTAAATAACAGAGTGCTGCTTTAACACTCAGCATAATCTGATACCGTGACTTATCCCAACTAGTGTAAAACTCAACAATGATATTTTAACATAATTACTCTCTCTGCAACTAAAACTGGATTTTGACCTGTTTCAGCCTTAACAGAATTGAAACTTATCTTAAAAAGTGCTTCCAAGCACTGCCCTGACCTCCCCATTGTCAAGACTCAAGAAATATAAGGGCTGAAAGAGAGGGTTGGGAAGCATCCCACTACAGCATAAGGGCAGGTGCTCTGTGTCAGGCTCTGTGCTTGGGAATTTCTATGCAATATGGTTCTAATCTGGCCAAGTGTTCCCTAATTTCTTCACTGAAGGAGCTGTCAAGCATTGGAAGGGGCTGCCCAGGTGGAGTCACCATCCCTGGAGGTGCTCAAGAAACGACTGGATGTGGCACTTAGTGCTCTGGTCTAGTTGACAAGGTGGTGATCGGTCACAGGTTGGACTTGATGATCTTGGAGGTCTTTTCCAACCTAAATGATTCTGTGATTCCATGATATCAAAGGCTGTAAGAGAAGCTGGTTTTTGTTTGTTGCTTCTTTCAGTTCTTCAAACTATAAAAAGCAGTGCTATGTAACCAGTTTCATTCCATGTGTTAATACATTAAGATGCATGAATTAAAGCATGAACAAATCACTGTCTAGGAAATTGCACAAGAATTATGGCTGGCAACAGACCTTAAGCCTATAATCAGTGGTTCAGAAGAATGATACAGTCTTTAATTATATGATCAAGTATTTTTCCACTGGGCTCACTATTGCAGAAGTTGAAGGACACACAGTAGAAGAGGTAGAAGCTTACGACAGAATGGACAGCCTTATGACATGGACCAGAAATCAAGCCACCAGTTGACTAGAGCAAAACTAAGACATCACACATGAAAAACCTCACAGTAGAAGCACATATGCATCTCTTCTGGCCCACTACTCAGAGTGGTTAGGCTAAGATTAGAGTAATTGAGTTTTGTCGGTCTGGGTCACAGACAGCACCTCCCTGGCTCCAGTCTACCTATCTACCAAGCTACTGTTTCAGGTTCCTAGTAGAAGCACTGGGAATGCTACAGCTTGTAAATACATCAATGGGAAATAGACAGTTCAGCAACGGACTATCTGGAAAAAGGGACTGGAAGAGGAAAAAAACCATCCTGCATGCATTTCATGTAAGAGTATCACATTAGAAACAGCCAGCTATGTTCTCTTCTCTTATACATGGAGGGTAGCAATATTTCTTTACCTTGATGTTTTGGTGTTGGAGGAATGATATCAGGTGGATCACAGATAATAACCCCTTCTTTCAACTCAGCAGTATGCATTGTTTCACCAAATGTACAGCAAACTTTGTCACTCGCAGTCAAAGCCGGCAATGGACTTACAGTCAGTTCCACCTGGAAACAAAATTTAAAAAGGATAAAATATTTTAACTGTTCTTTTTTGTTTGTTTGGTTGGTTGGTTTGGTTTGGGTTATTTTTGGGGTGTGTTCAGTGATGATAATATAGCTGGTATCACAGAATATGGCTTTTCTTTTCAATTTTTATTTCTTCCCATCTGGCAATCTTTTCTTCTTATAACTCTATGAATTTTTCCAGGCTGGGTCTCTGTTGAATTAGATTGATACAAAATCCTCTTGTCTTGTCAATGCATTAGATCAGAACAAAAATGTCTGTTGACAGCACCAAGTTTAGCAACAGTAAACAGAGTGGTTAACACTTAATTCCTGACAAACTTAATCAAAATTACATTAACCTTAGGTGTAACTAGTGAATAATGAAAACAAGGCTGAATAGTCTGGAAATGCTGGAGTTTGAAAGGGGTGAACAGAAAAGTGCCTTGCTTAAGACTCAATGCAAATGCAAAAATCCACTGAGACCTATCATTACTTCTGAGCAATGGTGAGATCTTAACCTCCTAAGGGAAAGACTGCATGTCAGAAACTAGAATCATAGAATCATGAAGGTTGGAAGAGACCTTTAAGATCAAATCCAACCATTTACCTGTCACTCCTCTGTAACCCTTAAACTATATCTGACAGTGCCATGTCCAGATGCCTTTTAAACACTTGCATGAATGGTGACTCCACCACTGCCCTGGACAACCAATTTCAATGCCTGACCACCCTAAAAGTAAATAAGATGGGGAAACTTAACAAGGAAAGAGTAAACTATTGAAATGAATTTTTGGATGCTGTACTTGATTTGGTGTTTCAGGTGTGTTGCTTAGACAGTTTAACTTTTTCCATTTTGCATTTTCAGTAGAAATGACAATCATCTCTTTCTCACTGAAACCAGTTACACTCTACTGAACATCTTTATTCAACATAGAAATGGCCTTAACACAATGCTGCTGACATCATTTAGAAATGGAATTAAACTGAATTAAATGAGAGTTTCTTTATTTCTGATTAAGAGGAATTAAAATCATTTTACTGATTTTACTTGCTGAGCACCCTGGGGAAGTCCTCAGTCTGCACTGGCATGCTCCATTTGAAGTTAGAGCAAGCTATGACACTCTGGTCACACTCCAGAAACTCAATTTTGTTGTCACAGAGTCATTTTGCATGCTGAATTTACCTTCTCCATGTACCCAGACAGACTTCACTGTGTAGGCAAATCCACTGCTGATTTTAAAGCAACAGCTTATGGCTTCGCTGCTTACTTAGGTTTATGCTTAAGTAAGCTCAAAGGGCAGCATGAATTCTCCCCTACCAATTACTTTTTATGGGTTATACAACATTGTGCAACACTTTCATAATATTCAGATAAGTGTAAGTGCTTTATCATCCATATTAGTGCATCACTTCGGTTTACAGAGAAGGTCAAAAGGAGCATTTCTTCTTTATCATCCATATTAGTGCATCACTTTGGTTTACAGAGAAGGTCAAAAGGAGAAGAAAATGTGAACTGCAACCTGCAAGAACAGGCCAGAAAGAGCACTGTGGGAAATGCCAGAGACTGAGACATCCAAAACAATATCCTATTCCTAGTCTCCATGGTGCATAAAGAAATGCAGATTTTCATTTTCCTGGTAATTGCAACAATGTGCTTTAAGAAAATGTAGGCAAAGTGTTTCCTTGTCATACCTTAGCAGGGGCTCTGCGACTCATGTTTAGAGGGTCTGCACTAATGATAGTCACACATGTGCCATTTGGACTCCACAGCCAGTGGTTCTCCTTATCAGCTGTTCCACAGTCTGCCTTCTTTGTGCACCTGACAAAAAAAGAACAGAAACCAAAGAAATGTGATATTATAGCTGGATTCTGCTTTCTCTGAACTACACAACAATTTCAGGATTAGAGACTGAAATTGCAACACAAGATGACTACAAATTTGCTTTAATATTGACTAGCAGTGTTGCTATTAGAGAATTTTAAACAGAATAAGTGATGCAATAACTATTGATGGTTTGAGGTGTCAAAAGCAAGTGCCTACATTATTTTGGACACCACCTTGAATCAGACAACCCAAATCCATATAAAGGCAGTAATATTTAGCACAGGAACCATCAGGCAATGGTTCCGTTGATCATCTGAAATCAAGCTGATTAATCTTCATTGTAATACATAACAACATCCTGAATCAGTGGGCACAGCCTGTTTTTCTGCAGGTCATATGGCAGGCACCTATGTGTTGCTGGTGTTAAGACACAACACAGAGTAAAATGCAAGGGAGGAGCATTGCTGGGGGCATGCAAGCTTGCAGAGAGCTTCTGTCAAACCACAGCACTAGAAATGTTACTTTCATAGTGAACGTTTTCACTAACTCCTGCCACTATTTAGACCTCTCCCTGCCAAGGCACTGTCACAATTACAGGAAGACAAGCAGTTGTGCAGCCTCACCAAAAATACTGGGAGATTTTCCCTGCTCGAGTACAGGAAGAAGAGATGCTGCAGCACAGAAGATCCACATGTGTCTACACAAGTTTGTTTGTCTGTATGGGGACAGTCCCGTGTATTCTTTCCATTCTGTGCAAAGTTTAGGAGAAAATGCTGTAGGATCTCTGGCTGCTGTAGCACACTATTAATTAATCGGGGGCTTTAATGCCTGCCCAGCTCTGTCAATCCTCCTTTAAACAAATAATTTACATACATAGTCTACATTCATGTAACATATCCGTAAACTCACTATGTGCTGCGTGTGATCATGAGACAGAACTTAAACTTTAAAATGAAACAGTTTTTTCTCCCCATTGGAAATAAATAATAGCAAAAGTGAAAATTCATGTTTGTCTGTTCTCAGGAACCATTAATATTTTGAGATATTGAGGTCAGTGGTCATATCACAAACCTGAAGGGAAATCTCGGGAAAACTGGCTTTTTTAATGATATATGACATGGCCTTCAACTCCCAGCAGCCAGGAGGAGTTCCAAGGTTTATATTCCAAATCCCCAGGTTTCATCCACTGAAACCTATGCTGGCAGAGTTACAGTGTATTACATAAACCTGCATGCACGAGTTTCTCCGCAGTGCTCCGTATTATGCTACATCAGGCTGATAGGTAACCTAATGTGATAGTTCATATTTTCAGGCAGGAAGCTAGAAGCCCAAAATTCATCTGCATATTATAATTAAACAACCCCTTTGTTCCAACAGCAAGAAGTTAGAATCACTAATTCCCAACCACTCATGCCAAGGGGTTAATTAATTTAGTAGTCAAAAAGAGAACTGCAGGACTGCTCTTCCCTCTTGGCACTCCAATCAATGCAGAGTGCAAAGAAGAGACATTCCAGAGCTGTTCAGTGCTGTCCTAGTTTACATGTGTTTGAATATTAATTCAGTGAACCTCTGCAGATAGTCAGCCAAATGCCACATTCTGCTCTCTTACAGGTAGGTGAGTGTTCCCTGTAGCTACGTGTCTTGACAGACGATGTTTATATAAAACCAGTATTTGAGCTATACACTTTATTTTTGACACGGAACATTTTTTTTCTTTTATGTTCTCTTTTACAGTTTTCTGCTCTGCTTAAAATACACACTATATTTTATGAACTTGAAATAGGAAGCACTCTTTTAATTTCTGGGAGAACATTTGACCATACAGTTTGGAGAGTGATAAAACATACAGTTAGAAGATGTATAATCATTCTCAGTACCAGCAGAAAAGTATATGTTTTCCCAAACTAATCAAATCTGCGGAAGTCAATGAGGACTCTTTGTGTGCACAGAATATTGATATCCATGTCTGTGTGACAAAATTAAATCACTGACAGGAGTGTAAGGCTGAGTACAAAGAGCTGGGAGCCAAACACTGAGCAGCACATGTCAAAACTCGAGCGATTGCACTGCCTGCCCCCAGCAAACAGCGGCAGCACTCACTCACCTGCCCTCTCGCACACACCAGCCGCAGTACGGGTCCCTCGCCTGAGCACACTTCTCACAATCCGAGTATTTGTGGCAGTCCTGCACAGGTAACCGGTGCACCTGCAGAACCCAAAGAAAGGCAAACCATAACACATCTGCAGCAGGCACAAGGAGACAGAAAGTTTTGTGGACTGAGCTGTACAGTATCATTGCCTGTGGCAGCAGAAAACTTGATCCTATATTAGTGTCATCAGAGCTCAGCTTGATTGTAACAAAATTCATACAAAAACAGAGGTAGGTTTTTTCTCCCTTAACAAAGTCCAAATTTGTGCACTTTTTCCTTCTTTATTCCACTCCAATATTAAATAATCTCTCTTCAAAGTAATGTGGGACATTGTTATAATCAAGAATCATGAGCACGTCTTATAAAAATTGAGCTTTTCAGTTCCACCAGTTATGTTACTTTTGGAAAACTGCATTACAGCAGCCACCTCAGGACAGCAACTGCATCAACAACACTCTGGATTCAAGAAACAGCTACTGCAGGATGGATACTTTCAAAATGCTAACTTGGTACTGGCTAGATAATTTTTTTAGACAGAATATTCTCCCCTCCATATCACTAGCATGGAGATAAAATTCTTTGGAAATGCAACCACCAGTGGCACTTTTAGCCACAAGGCATTCCACAAAGTCTGCACACATGAGAGAATCAGGGTGCTTTGGGTTACTGCCCTTCTCCATGCATAACCCTCCACCATGGAATACATTCACAAAATAAAATGGAAACAATTATGTCAGGAAGCAGCAGGGAAAAGAACATCATCAGTTCTCTCGTCTCATTCCCCCAGTAAATATACAGCTTCTGGTTTTGATTTCGTTTGGTGCTGAGAATAAACAACTTTGTCTTTCTTTGGTGCATGAAAAAGGAGCCATTTCTCTTAGCTACGCTGCTGAAATGATGTAAGAATAGAGCAGCACATACATCTACCTGTTAATGACTATGTTTTAAAGAGAGCAAAAAGTCTAGCACCAGTAATTCTGAGATGCAGACTTTCTCTTTTCCACCTTATCATCTCATGTAAAACAACTGGCAATTACAAAGCTACTTTGACAGTCTGAGTTTGGTCTTTTCTTCACATTCGGAGAGTTAAGGAAAATGACTCAGTTAAGGAAAATGTAAATGTTGTGCAGTTTTCTTGCATTTATTAATACAGGGGGTTACCTTTTCAGCATTCTCTTCTTTTTAGCTAACGGGAGCTGAGTTACTTGCACTCTGTTTCACTAACTGGTACCCATGAGTAATTTAATATCCAGCCAATGGCTTTTTTTAATGACAGAGTATTTCTTCTATAAATCTGGCAGGGAGAAACAAGCCCTAGAGATTGCTGACCCTGAAAGTTTTAAATGAATTTAATGATTTAAAAAAACCCAAACAAACAAACCAAAACAGCAGCTCCTTTTACAGCTAGTTTCAAAGTGCAAAGAAACTAATTTTAGATATTTTTAAATTGGCAATCTAAAACACAGTGTTAAAAACTAAAACAAGAAACAAGCTAGTGATATTAGTGACTGACTGCCAGTCTCCTGCTTTCCTCCCAGTAAGGTATGTACCATAAGGAATCTGGGATCCTGCCAGTGATGTACACTTCCAATGAACCAGTCTGAGCACTGCAGGAGTGCTAGCCTCCTTTCCAAGGCCCCAAGAAGATGCAAAGGGTTTCTCCTGCTCTCTGTCCAACCTCTGGGAACAGAGGGGACTGACTTTTGAAAGCATTTGCTCCAAGCCACTCACTGCTATTGACACCACAGCAGAAGCTGGAAGATGTGGAAGGAGAAGTGAAATAGGAAAGGAAGAGGTTGATTCTTACTATGGCTCTTCTGTATTGTTCTTTCTTGTATTTCTCTCAATCTAATTTTTAAAGGTTGCTTCAAGTTATCACCTACCACATCACCACGTTCACTTTGCTAAAGTGCTTACAGAGCCCATGGAATTTATTTCCAAATGCTGAGGCAGGCTGCCTCTGCCAGGTAGCTCAGCAGCATGCATGCCTATCAGTGCAGCTAGCTAACCTTTATTGTTTACCTTATTTTAAATAACTCTAACTCATTTAAACTCCTCAAGCAGGTTTCTGATATCTCTATTCCCACAACTCACAGCCATGCTTAACCCAGGATTTCAGCATTTATTCTCCTCCCCTTGCTTATGTTGCTTCGTTTCTCCCAGCACTGAAGGCCTCCATTCTCCTCCTGTCTATCTGCTTCTTAAGGTGGGTGGGACTGCTCATTGTAATTAACTCCTGAAGATGACAGTAATGTAATGCCATTACAGAGCTCCCAACTAGCTATTCATGTTTAAGCTAAACAGGTTTTTTAAAAGAAAACTATTATTCACATTATTCAGAAACTGCAGTGTCTATGAGAGCTACTTAGAAAAGATTAAACTGAAATCCTTTCTTTGGCAGGGATTTGCTGCTTTCTAAATTTAAATGTTTTGTAGAGATGGAATGATTTTTTTGCATGTTTTGTCTGAAAAATTTGTCTGTGGCCTTTTCTAAATTCTACCAGTTCAAGCAGACTGTCACCAGAAAATTTGTCTTCCTTCAAGGCTGCTGCTATCTCTTACACTGCCCAGCAGCACATGCCATGGCCTGGTGTGGACCTCAGAGCTCTTACATCACATGCCACTTTGTCAAATGGGGTGCCAGGCCATTGAGAGTTTTGTGGACAACATAGAAGTTTGGAGTCCTGTTTCAAATCTGAACAGAAGCCAAATCAACTACTCAAAAAAAAATAGTAACCTCTCTCACACACTGCCATATTAGTAAATGCTTTATCAGTCACATATCTGGCATATTTTCCAATGTGTTTCCTAGGCTCAAAACCTTCAGCTAGACTATAACATTCCTGCAGAAGGAATTTATATTCATTCTTTTATAAAACAGTCAGAAAATATACTTCTTGCACTGTTTTCCCCACAGCCCCCCTCATTCTCCCTGTGCTACTGCTGCAGAGCATTTCCCATTTGCATGCCATGTCACTGTCAGGGCAGCAGATGGTCACAGGTGTTTCCTAGGCTCAAAACCTTCAGCTAGACTATAACATTCCTGCAGAAGGAATTTATATTCATTCTTTTATAAAACAGTCAGAAAATATACTTCTTGCACTGTTTTCCCCACAGCCCCCCTCATTCTCCCTGTGCTACTGCTGCAGAGCATTTCCCATTTGCATGCCATGTCACTGTCAGGGCAGCAGATGGTCACAGCACACAC